GACCGTGCCTCTGCGGGGGGGTGGGGCTGGAGCACCCCCTGGGCATCCCCGTGGGGAAACTGAGGCACGGAGCCCCGTGGGGGGAGTGTGAGGGGCTCTGGGCCCAGAGCCCGGTGTGCTGGAGCGTGCGTGTGTGTGTGACAGCTCTGCAGGCTGTGTGTGTGCACTGACGTGTCCCCTGGTCACAGCCCCGCTGCAGGGTGTCTGTGTGTCTGTCTGTGTGCGTGTACACACGGGCAGCATTACTGCAGCGTGTGTGTGTGCACAAGTACAATGTCACTGCAAGGGGGGTGCGTGTGTGCATGCACTGCAAGGGTTCTGTGTGTGTGCACACGGGCGAGCATCACTGCAGCCTGTGTGTGCACACAAGTACAGCATCGCTGCAAGGGGGGTGCGTGGTGTGTGTGCATGCACAAGTACTGCACTGCAAGGTGGTTGTGTGTGAGTGTGCGTGTGCAAGTACAACGTCACTGCAAGGGGGTTGTGTGTGTGTGCACAAGTACAGCACCACTGCAGGTGTGTCCATGTGTGCGCACACAGGCGTGTGTGGCACAGCCTCCCTGCAGTGCATGCGTGTGTGTGTATGTGCACACTCACCACACACATGTACGTGTGCACCAGGGTGTTGTGTGCTGCACCCAGCCTCCTGCAGCACCACCGGGTGCTGGCGGGCCTTGGGGTGCTCCCAGCACCCTGGTTGCATCCATGTGCCCAGGGGATCAATGGAAGCAGCGGGAGCCCAAGGTGACCCCGAGGCGCCTGTGCCACTGCCCATGGTCCCCCATCACCTCCTCTGGCTTCAGCGGATGTTTGTGACACCCAGGGGCTGAGAACATGCAGGGTGTGGGCTGGAGCGCAGGGGGGACACCCTGGTTTGGCCACTGCCAGGACATGTCCTTGCCTTTCCTCAGCACCCCGAGCCGGGTGATGGGGAACTACCGTTGAGAGGGATGAGCATCCCTGAAGGATGAATTCTGGAGGTGCCTGGACCACAGCAGGGCTCCTCGGGGGAGCATGGGGGAAACCAGAAGCATTCCCTGCTCAGACAGGGATGCTGGCCCTGGGGAAGCTCAGCCATCGGGCTGGCAGGCCAACCCCCCCCCAGACTCCCCCAAAACCCGTCGGAAGATGTCACCGATGGGCAAGGGAATCCCCAAGGATCCCCCAAGGATCGGTGGCACAGCCCCATGTGGGTTTTCTCCCCCACACCAAAGTTCTCAGCCCTGTTTCTCCTCCAACACGAAGCCCTCAGCAGTCGGCAGGGACCGGCACGTTCGCGCTGCCCGGCGCCAGTAGCTGTGCTGGCCGGTGAAGGAACAAGGCACCGACATCCCGGCCCGGCTTCCCGGTGTTCCCCGTACAAAACA